TGACACAGCCAGCCACCTTCTTACTATGTCTTCATATGTGAGAGTGAGAGAGAGAGAGAGAGAGAGAGAGAGAGAGAGATAATGTGATAGAGGGAGAGGTCTCTGGTCTCTCTTCCTCTTCTTATAAGGATACCAATCCTATTGGATTAGGGCCTCATCCTTATGATCTCATTTATCCTAAAAACCCTATCCCTAATTATGGTCGCATTGGGGGTTAGGGCTTCAACATATAATTTGGTGGAGTGAGGTGGAGGTGTGTAGAACACAATTTAGTCCACACTAGAATTTATTTCTTTTCAAGACACTCAAACAAATATGCTAGTGCCCCAAAACTAGACTAGCATGTTTGAAAAGAGGAGAGCTTAAACATTTATATTGGTCTCAAGTAGATGGTATTGTACAAAATGTGTAATATATCCCATAATCCACTTAAAAACAGTGCATTATCTTTTTAAATGAAGATCTGGATTATCATTTATTTCTTCTGTTACTGTTTTTCTGTTCTACCTGTTACTCTTTATTATATCCAATCTTAAAGTGCACCTGAATACTTTTCCTTCCTCAGTTTTAACTTAAAGTCCTTTTGAGCAATGTGACGGATATCCTACTAAGCTTGTTCTTCTAGATTTCAATAGTATTCATTCTATTCTTCATCAAAAGTTTATTATCCTAATATCTAAACTGGCAGTCAGGAAATTTGATCTTTTTCTTTGACTTTGTCTATCTACACTTCCCAAATTCTTCTTTTCTCTTCTCAAATAATATATTTCACCTGAGGGAACCATCATTTTTTCTAATATGGACTACTAAGAGAATCAGATTTGATGTTCAGAACTCAAGAAGTGGTATGTCTTTTAGCTTACGAGGCTGATTTCTGATGAAAACTCACCCTCATAGCCAACCTAGAAATACTGAATATTTATTTACTTAACACTGTGTAAAGTGCTTTGAACTGTACAAAGTAAATACTCTTCCTGACCCCTAAAATAGATTAGGTTCCCTTGCTGTAATTTCTTACTGCTGTGTACTTGACCTTCTTAGCACATATCACAGTTATTAATAATGTTTTGCATAATTACTTGTTTTATGACTTTCTTGTGTTTGATCCAGGACCATAGTTGTATTCACTGTTATGGCCACTGCTTTCTGGCTCATAATTTGTTCCTAATAAATATTTGTTGAGTGAATGAATGAAAAACATAGCCCCTAGAACTATGAGGAAGCAAGCATACAATCCAGAATGTGGTACACTCAATAAGAAAAATAACTAGGTTTCTTCATGAAATCATTGGCAAAATGAGAGGGGGAGGCCTGCTCCACAACAAAAGAGAACTAAAAGACATAACCAAATGCAGTGCAGTTGCGCACCATGGGTTTGAACCGCGCAGATTCACTTATTGTGGATTTTTCTCAATAAATGTACTGATGGCTCACCATATACCCAGGGTTTCACATCTGGGATTCACCCAACTACATATGGAAAACAGCAATTTTCATCCACGGTTGGGAGTCCATGGATGTGGAGAGCTGATTGTATGGATTGTTCCACGCCATTTTATGTAAAGAACCAATCCTCCATGGATACCAAGAGATGACAGTAGTTAAGTTTTGGGGGAGTCAAAAGTTATTTTATATAAGGGAATTGAACATCTACAGATTTTTGACTGTGCAGGGAGTCAGCACCCCTAACCCCCATGTTGTTCAAGGGTCAACTGTGTATGGATGTTATGTGGGTATTGATTACTAATGAAGCATGTCAAAAGACATTTTGAGGTAATTAGGTAAATTTGAATATGAACTAGATATTAGATTATACTATGGAATTACTGTTAATTTTGTTTAGATATTATGGTTACTTAAGATAATGTCCTTTCTTTTTTTAGAAATGCATATTAAAATATGGACTATAGAATATTTTAACAAAAGAAAAAAGGGATATGTATATGTGAGAAATGAGGCAAAATCTTGGTAATTTTTGGAAGTGGGTGATGAGTGTATAGGGATTTGTTATATATTTCTCTCTACTTCTGTGAATATTTGAACATTTTTATAATAAAAAAAATTAAAACCAACAAAACATGGTCCCAATCTCTAGGAAGCTCATAATCTAACGAAGGCAAGAGACAAAAATATAGGAAACAATTAAATATTAAACAGATACTAAGCCAAATAGCAGAGATAGCAGTATGGGTTTAGAAAATGGTAGGTGGGTTGTAGTGATGAGAGTCTTTGTCAAAGAGGCAGGACTTGAGCCCACCTTTGAAGAATGGAGATTTCATTGAGGAGGAAGGCATTCTGAGCAAGAGGAAACAGCTCGTGCTATTAGGAGTACTGTGTGGTCTCTTCAGCTCCAGTCCCTTCTCACTAGTAACAACCAGGAAACAACAAGAATGAGAAGCTGAAGAGTAGACTTTCGTGTTGCATTTTCACATTCTTAAATTCCCTTGGCTTCAGTTACTATTCCTAAAGTGTACCAGGAAATGTGGATACATTTGTCCTTTGAAGAGGTATGAAAAATTGACTCATAGAGCGTATGAAAGTGTCATGCCCTCTCTTCAAGTTCTCTGTGTTTAGTTGTGTCATGTTTTTGCGTTAGGCATGAGAAGCAGGGTTCACGCCATGTTGCCAGCTATTTTGAGGCTTTGCAGAGCAGCTGTTCTTTCACTCAATTGCTAACTCACCTTAATAGCAAACTTCATAGGTCATTTATATCAAACTTGGTTATAATTGGATTAATGGATTTCCTTTCTATAAGTATGTATTCAAGAATGTTCTGTGTTCTTATTGTGGCTTTAGTAAGATCTATGGCTTTGATAATGCCTCCTTGCATGCAGCGCTCTTTTCCCCAAGGCTTGTCACTTCAGACCAGTCTTCACCCATGCCCCAGCTCCTTCTGAGGGAAGGTGAAGGCTCCAGATAC